AAACAGAGTAACTGCTGGTTGCTGGCTGGTGTGCAGCGAGGCGCCGGGAGACCACCCAGTGGTCGGGGCTGGGGCCACGTGTCGCCGCTGAGCCGGGCCGCGCCGCCGACTGCCGAGAGACGGCCGGCCCGCGGCTGTGGAGACCGTCCCGGCGCGCTGACGGACAGCGGCCGTTAGGCAGGCCCGGCCGGGTCACCGGCGCGCCGCGGCGCCCCCGCTGGCCGGCCTTTCCGCCGGTGACGGCTGCAGGCCGGCCGGTCTGTGTACTGCACTTTGCAGCCATGAAAAACGAGCCGTCAGGGCCGCGGCTGGCTCTGCGTCTGGTGTGCCCGTCTCTGCGCGCCGTGCTGAGGCGGCGGACGAGGGGCCCGGCGCGGCGGCTAGGCCCCGCTGATCGCCAGCGCCGTGCACCCGTGACCGGAGACCGGCCGCGCTCGCCGACTGCGGTGAGATCAGGTGCAGCTCTGGGTCTGATTGTAGGATATCGCGCCGAGAAGTGTTTCAGGCTGCTGTTGGAACTGTGACGTCATGCGGCGCGCGTGACCGAGTTGGCCGCTAATACCCCGACTGAGGAGCGTGGTTTGGGGCGGTAGCAGCCTGAGGCGCTCATCTGAATACGGCCTTGCCTTTTGCCGGGCGCGCCATGTTTATGCCCGTGCCCACTACGCAGCGCCGTGAACGCCGAACGGGCTGTTTCAGGTCGGCTCTGCGGCGCCTCGGGAACTTCACCCGACAGGGGCAACCACCGACGGGTTCAGAGGAACAAAGAGCCTTCCTAGACCGTCTGGAGATGCCATCTGGGCTAGTCGGGGACATGCGTCATCAGTCGATGAGTCATTTAGCACAGTATGTGATGTGATATTAGGTAGTAGTAGTACCTACCTACCTAACAGCTATAGATGATGTGAAACGCAGTGCACATTGAGGCTGGTCATTCATCACATCACATGCGTTATCCAATGCACAACCGATTAATTAACCCTATTATCCAGGGCCTAGCGGGCCTGCTAAGGCTGGGACGCCCTGAGCTATTCAGCAGGCTCCTCAGTGATGCGTCACGCTAGACTTGGCGCGATGCGTCACATGATAGGCGGTTGGACGGTGCGGTAACCGATGCGTACAAAGACGCGTATCCGTTTTCAGCATGCCAAGCGTCTCTTCTATCGGGCCGTTCGGTACGTCGCCCACGCATCATGTGAAATGAGACATCTGCTACGCTTCGAACCAAATCGTCTGAGACTTCATTACTGTCCGTGTTGCGCGAACGAAGCACGGCCCGAAGCGTCAGCCGACGAGGCGATCAATCTCTTTAGCGAAGTGTTACTCGCTCGAAGCCCGCATAGCTGGGAGTTGGATTTATATAGGCATGTTTGCTGGTCGTATATCATGCCGTTTGATGGGTCGTAGTGCTGTCGCCGTGGGGCGGGATGTCTGTGTCGGGTCCGCTCAGTCTGACGGCGCGGAGCTGCTGGAGGGGTGCCCAGGTGGCCGTCCCATCGCGTCCGCCGCCGCCGCCGCCGCCGCTGTCTGCATGCTGATGTCCGGGGCCGGCCACGCTGGTGGGATCGGGGGACGGCCGTCCAGACGGAGAGAGCGGCACGCCAGGCTACAGAGGCTCCTCTGGATTCAGGGGTGGCGGTGTTGCGGGACGCTGTGCGCGCGGCGCCGACGGTGGCCGTTCAGACGCCACTGCCGGCGCTAGCTCCCACCGCCAAGCGCCGGGCGCGAGACGACGAGTCGCACGACGGGACGAGCAAACAAACAGAGTCGGCGCGTCCCCGCAGCGACGCTGAGTGAGTCCGTCCTTAGAGGGCGGCTGGGACCGTGTCGGTGGCAGTGGGGCCACCGGTCCCTGTGCAGATCACTGCCCCCCCCCCGACCAGCTCGTTGCGGGGACTGGGACGGGGAGGTGGGTTCCGCTGCGGGTCGGACGGACAGACGGACGGGGTGCACGGACTCGGTCAGACTGGGGCGCACGTCGGGCGGGGCTGACAGAGCCCATGTGGGTGGGCTGGATAAACTGCTGCATGCGTGTCGCGTGCTGCGGCGTCCCTGTACGCTGGCATGCAAAGCCCAAACAATGCGGCGGTTTATTCGGGTTATGTACGCTGAATGTGCGGCGCGCACAATGCGGCCGCGTGTGTGTGGCCCGCTGACACACATTGGGGCGTGTCGCCTGCGGCGCTCCGTCGACACGTCACAGCCGAGCGCCGGCCGTTTGCCGGCGATGAGGGCCAGACGGGCCCGCTGTCGGACACGGCGGCGGTCGCCGACGAGCCGGCGTCCACGCGGCTGGTCCCGTCATTGGCCTCAATTCGCCGCTGCCGTCTCCGATAGGGCCGCCGCGCCGGACTGACGAAATTAGGCAGCCGGCTGCGCTGCCCGGACAGGCGTGGCTATCCATCTCACTGCCCACTGACGAGAAAACAGTGTACTGCCCGACTCGGCCGTCGCTATTGTTTTGGGGCCGACGCTCAGCGAGCCAGGGCCACTGGCGGTTGGCGCTGATACCTTTCTGTGCGCCGGTGGCCCACGCGCAGTCTCCGGCGACAGGCGAGACAGTGGCACGCGGCGCCCGTCCTCGAGCCGTCGTCGGCGCCAGTGTCGACCGGCCGCCGGGCGGGGCGCGCCGACCGGCCCTGTTGACGAACTGGCGCGTGCTGCACAGGGAGATAGGTCAGCGCCTCGAGTTTCGCGGACGGTGACACTGCTCGGTCACCCCTCAGTGGGTTGAATCGGCAGGCTGCCGCCGCTGGGGACCCAGTGGCCGGTTTATGGGGTGTCCCAGATAGCCTATCGTGGCGGCGCGGAAAGCTCCCGCGGGGAGGCGCGCCGTCCTTCCACGCCACGACTGCGCTGCAGAGCGGTCACGGCGTGCGTGTATAAAGGCCCGGGGACGGCGGCCGCCGCTGGCCCCATCAGGCTGCCACGGCCGCCGGACCGCCCCGATCCCAGGCGGCTGGGCGGCGGCGGCAGCCGCTGTGTGAAACTACCGGCGGTGTGTCTGCGGTGGCGGCCGAGCCGGCATGTGAATCCAGCGTCCGTCCGTCCGCCGCCGTTCGGGTCTGTTTGTCCAGCAGCTCAGCGGGGCCGAGCCGCCGGGCTCGGGTCGCCGTGGGGCTGCAGCTCAGCCGGCACGCTCGGCAAGTGGCGCCGATGGCTGCAGGAATGCGGCGGCGCGGCCGCCCAGCCGACCGGCCGGCGCGCTCACCGACTCCGCTGGAATATCGACACCTCAGCGCGGGCCGTGTGCACCAGCCACACACTGCGTCTGACCAGTGACCACTCACGGTTCGGGACCGCTGCTTCCGGGCCGCGCCCAAACACACTGCACAGTGCACATGCAAATAAATGTCCCTACACCTCCACAGTGTCCGGCCAGCCTTTGAGTCCGGGTGCTCTGCTGCTACTTGAATGGAAACACCCGGAAGCCGTGCTCTGTCGAGACAGTTGATATTTCCTCTGCCGGGACCATGGGAGCTGGAAGCATGCGCTGGTTAGCTAAATTGCACAAACACTCGCACAGCTCTGCCGCTGCAGTGGGTGCATGTTTACACACATCCGGCCGGGATGGGCTACACCGGGGTCAGCGTGGGCCGTCCCGTTCAGAGCAGGGCCGCGCTGTCCGCCGGCCGGGGGACGCTCGACCTTTGCCGGTGTTGGACTTGGCGTGGCGGCGCGGGTGTTTCCGAAGACCGAGGTGCCTCGCGCGCCACCGAGCCTGTCGCTAAACTGCCGGCCACCCTGCCAAAATAGCCGGGGGCGTGGTGTGCGCTGTTGGCGCGTCCCGCCACCCGCCCCGCCCGCCCCCGCCGGTCGCGTGTACGGCGGGAACCGGGGCGACGGCGGCGGCGGCGGCGGCGGCGGCGGCTGGGGGCGGCGCGCGGCGCGGCGCGGGCTTATAAGGGGCGCGGCGGGCGGCGGCGGCCCAGTAGCGCCCGCCGTTTGCCGCCGTCCGCAGTACCTCCCGTCGCTCACAGACATGTCTGACCCCGCTGAGGTGAGCCGTGCCGCCAGGCTGCCGCGGCCTGCTCTCTGCCGCGGCCTGTTCCGCGGTAGCTTAACTTGTCAATCTATCTTTTTTACAAGTCCCGGTTACTTTTTTATAGTTTTTGGCATCATGTATGGGCAGTTTGGTCGAAAGTTGCGACAGGTTACCAATTAGGTACTTGTGATTTCTAAGCCCAAGTTAACCTCTACATCAACTTGATTTGCCGGTCATATCTGTGTTTGCTCATACCTATACCTATTAAAATGAATAAAAAAGAAATTACAGTATTCGTTTGCCTGATCATTATTTTGTTAGAGTACGTCGCTCTTCCCAGCGCTGTCTAGTAACCCCTGCTGTTTTCGAATGTACCTAAATTATTTTGATGTTCTTCACTATAACGTTCAGCTGATCTTTTCCTCTATTGAATTGACGATCCGCCTTATGTCTTGCACCATTCGGCCATGCGATCGCACCACATTAGAGTCGTTCTCACGTACCCGGTAGCTATAATCGTGGCCGTGCGGCGGCGGCGGCCGTTTTTAGTCTTCCGGAAGTGCCTGTGGCGGCGGCGTTCCCAGCATTCTGAGCGCTGCGCCCGCCGCCCAGAGAGCGTCCGAGCGGAGCCGCCGGGCCGCAGCTCCAACAGCCCCCGAGAGGCGGCCGCTGGGTCCTCGGAGGGGCCGCCGCTGGCCGGGGCCCTCCCAACGGGCCTCCGCCGGCGGCCGGCCTCCTCCAGAGCGGCCCTCCCGTCTCTGGCGTCGGTGCTGCCATCTGCGGCGCCGGCAGGTCCAGACGGGCCTTGCAGGCTGGAATGCGGCTCACGGTCGCCGTATTTGGCGGCCCCGGGGCCGTCTGCCCCGTGAGGCCCGTCGAGGGCTGCCGTACCCGTGTATTGCATGCGCCGGGCGCTGCGTCCGGTAGTTGCGGGCTGCTGGAGCCGTCCCTATCACCGGCGGAGGGAGGAGGGTGGGTCAGGACGCCGCGACGCTGACCAGCCCCCTGCCCACAGGCCACCATCGAGCCCGAGGCTCCGGCGGAGGAGAAGCCCGCCGAGGAGAAGCCCGCAACTGAGGAGTCGGCAGAGGCCAAGGTAAGTACGTCGACCGGAGCGCTGCCAGGACCGCCGCGCCGGGTCTGCAGCGGTCGGCGCGTCAACCACTCGGGGCTCGCTCATTAATTATTTGCTCGGACATGTTGGTGCAATTTTGAACGAATGTGGGTGTTAATTCATCGTATGTGCCCCCAGTTCCGTGTTGTGATGTTGCGTGCTGTGTGTGTGGAGCTGCTGCTGACCGGTCTCCCGCCCTGTGTCGGCAGCCCGCGGAGGAGTCGGCGGCGCCAGCCGAGGAGGCCAAGGAGGCAGGCGATGCCGCGCCAGTCGCCGAGGTAAACTAGCGCCGCACCACCCGGCGGCACTGTCTTTCATCTCGCGCGCGCACGGCCCGTGCCGCCGCCGTCCGCCCGCCCTGCCCGTGAACAGTTCCTTACCGCGTCGGCCAGTAGAGGCGCGCGCCGGCAGCGGAGCGCGCGCGCGCGCGCCTCCGGTCGACGGGCGGGCGGCAGCGGCGGCGGCCGGCTGCACCTCTGCAGGGCAGGGAGAGACCGCCAGCGGTGCGGCACCACCAGGGAGCGGCGGCTATAACTGCCGGCGCCCGGCCAGCGGCGCCGGCCCCGGGACCAGCGGCTCAGCGCGCCCACCGCACACTGAGAGACGACAGCGCGCTCCGTGCTTGTTGTGCTGTTCCGCCAGTTTGCACCATTTTAGTTGCAGCTCGTTTTTTTTCGTTTTGTTGCAGGGTGTGTTGCTTTTAACATTAACCATCAATAAACGTATAGAGGTTGACACTAATGATGGAAATAGAAGGCAGAACGATTTTTTGTGTTTGTCCGTGTCTTTTTTGCACCCGCCCCACCACCGACTTGTCCCGCTCCTTTCACGTGTTACTAATCGGTGTGTTTTTCTCTTCGGCACTAACCTCTAAGGCTGTCGTGCACGATACAGAAACACGGCTCGACGGCGCCGCCGCTCTGTGAAATTTATCCATCTTTCACGCACGCCTAACCGTCCTTAGAGCTTAGACTACTGCTTTTGTCGATGTCGACAGTATCTAGTCAGTTGTGGATATTTAAAATCTGCCATTTGCTATTATAAACGACTCTTTTACTCTTAACTCTATGATTTATCAAGAGCGGAAAGTTCGGGAGTTTTTCTTGGTTTTATGACATAGTTCTCGTCATGACATCTATCCGTCTTTCTCTGCTTGGCGTTTGGGAGGTGCGCGGCTGCACACAGCGGCTCTCTGACCTGTTGCACATGGTGAATGCACTCTCACGCCTCCCCTGTCCACGCACTGTGGTCGGCTCGAGGCTGCTCCACCGTCCCCCGGCTCTAAATCCGCCCTTGCCACCTGACCTTGAGGTCACGGCTCACGGTGACGCCCCAACCAGTGATCCGCCGACGAACGGACGACCTCCGACTCGGCTGATGTCAAGTGCGCCAAATAAGTCGCAACTGCTGCTGCGGACAGACCTCGTCTCCAGACGCGTCAATTAGGTAGCACGCACCTCGCCGAAAAAGAACTCGTAATCAGGGTTTATTTTTATTGCTGCTTCAACTCACTTGCCTCTTAATTAGCTGGGCTGGCCAACTTTTTGCAAGGTCGTTGGTAGGTCGGCTGCCTTGCGGTGGAAGACTCAGGGTCGGAGGTACCCAAATGAGACCTCGGGCGGCCTGTCACGGCGCCGTCGGGGAGAGCGTCTGGCGCCTACCGGACCGCTGCCGGCGGTGATCCATCGCGCCGGCCCGCCGTCCGTCGGCACTGTCCACTGCAATACTCCGCCAATCTCAATCAGTCATCGTCACACTGGGACGCCACGGCTGCGGCCGCGCGCCAGATCTGTGAGTCGCCGCGCGGTCATTGACGGGCCGCCGCGTGGGGGTGGGGAAGAGGTCGCCGCCCGGGCGTCGTTCGCGGAACGGAATCGGAGCACACGTAGCCCAGGGTGATTTTGTTCTCGGAGACGCGTGTGGTGGGTCACAGACCCCGCCGCCTGCGTCGGACGGGCACACTGGGGGTCCGGCCGCTGCCGGAGTCAGGGGACCGCGGCAGCACGAGACCGACGGCCGGCGTGTGCAGCTGCCGCGGCGCCGGGGCGCGGTGGGCTCCGTCCGCTCGGACCCGACCGTCGCCCCGCCGGGCTGCAGTGACACTCGCTGGCTGGCCGTCTGTCGGGCCAGCTACACTCGCTGGCTGGCCGTCTGCCGGGCCAGTGACACTCGCTGGCTGGCCGTCGGTCGGGCCAGTGACACTCGCTGGCTGGCCGTCTGCCGGGCCAGTGACACTCGCTGGCTGGCCGTCTGCCGGGCCAGTGACACTCGCTGGCTGGCCGTCTGTCGGGCCAGTGACACTCGCTGGCTGGCCGTCTGCCGGGCCAGTGACACTCGCTGGCTGGCCGTCTGTCGGGCCAGTGACACTCGCTGGCTGGCCGTCTGCCGGGCCAGTGACACTCGCTGGCTGGCCGTCTGCCGGGCCAGTGACACTCGCTGGCTGGCCGTCTGTCGGGCCAGTGACACTCGCTGGCTGGCCGTCTGCCGGGCCAGTGACACTCGCTGGCTGGCCGTCTGCCGGGCCAGTGACACTCGCTGGCTGGCCGCGGGTCCGGCGGGAGCTCATTAGCGGCCCGCTGCTGGGGGGGGGGGGGGGGCGACCCTGACCCGGGTACTGCGCCGCTCGGACCCGGCAGGACACAGCACGGCAATCGATAGCAGCCGCTGTAACGGAGCCGCGCGGAACTTTGGAATGAGCCGTCTGGCTATCGGCCACATGTGACTGGGACGCTTCAGGGAGCGTCCGCTTTAGATTCCACCCGATGCCAGTTATATAAACGCCGTGCGATCCGCAAGGCCCGACAAACCGGGCGTCTAGGAATGCGCAGCAGCAGCACAGCGCGATACTGCCGGCAGTGGCGCAGCATTGTTGAACAGGTCTTCAGACTGGTGAATCATGATGCACATCGCGGATGGCGAATTCCTCACTGGACAGCTGCGTAGGCGCCGCTGCAAACATCTTTGTCGGATCTCGGTAACGCTGACGCTCTTATAGAAGGCATGCATTATTCAGGCGCGATCCCTCAGTACCTAATTCATTTCGGAACCGATTTTTACGATCGGCAGATAGCCCATGAACGATGGGCTAAGGATACCGGCGCGCTGCTCGGGTATGCCGGCCCTTCCGGCTCGGCGCGGTCTCGGTAGCGGTCCGCCTGGCGGCGCACGGCCGGCCTACGTCCCGCGCCGCCGGCCGACATTCCTCGGGGGTCGCCGGCGGCGCGGGCCTCTGAATGGCGCCGCCGGTGTCTGTCGCGTGCCGCGGCCAGTCGAGCCGTCACCTGCGCCGACACGGGCACCGCCGCACCGAGGAAAACGCGACTCGGAATGCGGCGGCCCGGCGAGCGAGGCCGGTTTTGGAGGCGCGCCGAGCGGCCGCAGGACCGACGTACGGCGCGCTGACCTCGCGGCAGCCTTGCCATGGCGAGGGGCCGACCGATGCGCCTTGGCTCATGGCAGAGTGGCGCGGCGGCGCCCGGCCCTTTGTTCGACGATGACGGCAGAGCTCAGGGGGCACTCGAGCTGCTTTGTTCGAAATGCAATACGGCACTTTGTTTGGTCGGCCCCATGGGCCATTTTCGAAGATGATATTGGTTTTGGATGTTGAACGTAGGATGGAATGACATCACGCTCAAATTTTATTCAGGGGTGGAGCGCAAAGCTTCCAGTGCCGTGCTGGCTATCAAATATCAGCATGCACTGCCGGACAGCCTATACCGACCGGAGGCCCACCAGCCTCTGGTCATCAGCCGTGACAGCGACAGGCCGGGTCGTGTGTCTCGGCATGTCTCTGTTCGGTCGGTAGGTGTGTCTCGGTTATAACGGTCGGTATGTCTCTGTTAGGCCGGGCGGTTTGTCTCAGTACCTATATCTGGGTTAGGTCGGTGTCATGCCTCAGTATGTCTCGGTCAGGTCGGTCGTCATGCCTCTATAGTTATGTCTCGGTAAGGTCGATTGGTGTGCCTCGTTTAGGCTGTCGCTGTCGTGGTCCACTGCTCTCCTTTCCTCTCCTCCCCGTACCGTCTGACCGTCTGTCTATGTGCCCCCGAGCCGTCCACCGTGCCGCGGTGGGTCCCCGCTGACGAGAGCCGTGCTTTCAGCCGGCCGTGCCCGCCGCCGAGGCGGTGGCCCTCGGGCGCCACCTGGTCGAGGGCGTGATCGAGAAGGCCAAAGAGGCGGCGCAGAAAGCGGAGGACGAGGAGCGCCTGCCGTCGCCGCCGCCGACCCCAGAGGCGCTGCGCCAGAGGGAGGCGCCGGCGGACGAGCCGAAACCAGAGGCGGCCCCGGCGCAGGAGGCGGCCAAGACACAGCCGACCGCGCCGGCGCCGCTGAAGATCACGGCGCCGCCGGTCCACGCCGCCATCGGGGCGCCGCCAGTGTCGCCGGCCATCGAGGCGCCGCCGAGTGCCCCTGTGGCGGAGGCTGCGGCCGTCCCCGCGCCCCCGGCGGAGACAGACGCTCCTATCCCAGCCGAGACGACTATCCCGGCAGAGGCTGCTCCTGTCCCCGCCGAATCCACCCATATCCCGGCACCAGCAGAGCCCGCCCCAGTCCCGGCAGAATCCGCCCCTGTCCCCGCCGAGTCGGCTGTCCCGGCAGAGCCCGCCCCAGTCCCGGCAGAATCCGCCCCTGTCCCCGCCGAGTCGGCTGTCCCGGCAGAGCCCGCCCCAGTCCCGGCAGAGCCCGCCCCTGTCCCGGCAGAGCCCGCCCCAGTCCCAGCAGAGCCCGCCACTGTCCCGGCAGAACCCGCCCCTGTCCCGGCCGAGTCGGCTGTCCCGGCAGAGCCCGCCCCAGTCCCGGCAGAATCCGCCCCTGTCCCGACAGAGCCCGCCCCTGTCCCAGCAGAGCCCGCCACTGTCCCGGCAGAACCCGCCCCTGTCCCGGCAGAGCCCGCACCTGTCCCAGCCGAGTCGGCTGTCCCGGCAGAAGACGCTCCTTCGTCTGGCCCGTTTGAAGCCGTTCCTGCTCCAACTGAAGTCCCTGTCCCAGTTGAGCCTGTCCCTGTGCCAGTTGAAGAGGCTGCGGCTGTCGAGGCTGCCCTTGCACCAGTCAAAGAAGTCATTGCACCAGTGGAAACCGCTCCTGCGCCAACCGAAGCCGCCCCTGCACCAGTCGACGATGTCCCTGCACCAGTTCAGGATGCCGCCACAATAGTCAAAGCCGCCCCTGTAGCAGTAGAAGTTGCGTCCGCACCAACCCAAGCCGCCCCCACACCAGTCGAAGCCGCCCCTGCACCAGTCGAAGCCGCCCCTGCAACAGTTAAAGAAGTCACTGCACCAGTCGAAGATGTCCCTGAACCAGTTCAGGATGTCCCCACACCAGTCGAAGCCGCCCCTGCACCAATGGAAGCCACGCCTGTGCCAACCGAAGCCGCCCCTGCACCAGTCGATCCCGCTACACAAGTCGAAGAAGTCCCTGCGCTAACGAAAGCCGCTCCTGAACCAACTGAAGCCGCCCCTGCACCGGTGGAAGCCGCCTCTGCACCGGTCGAAGACACCTCTGCGCCAGTCGCAGATGTCCCTGCACCAGTCGAGCCCGCTGCACCAGGGAAGGCCGCGGCGTCCGAGGACCTCGGGCCGCGCCCGGCGTCTGACGGAGTGGCGGCGCCAGCAGCAGCGCAGCAGGCCGGCCAGCAGGTACCGGAGCCGCGGCGCTAACAGCTGCATGCCACCGAGTGTAGAAGACCGTAACCGGGCGCCGACGCACCGATAACCCGCCGCCCAGCGCCGCTAACGGGCCTGTGTTCTTCCGGCGCCCCGTGTAGCCGTGCGTGCGTGTGCGTGTGTGCCGTTCTGCTTGGTTGACACGTTTGTGGGTGATTGCTCGCCGCTGACCCTGGCCCTCGAATAACGACTCCCGCCCTGGGGACATGCACATTGACTCCGTACCGTATACTCAGTGAATGTGGTTCCGATGTATTCGATGCCTTGCGTTTGTGTGGTCAGTCATAGAAGTAGACTTCTAGATCGTTCTGAATGCTTGATAATCATCACATATCATTCACGTTTTATCTACCTTGCGCAGAATATCAGCTTCACAGATATTGATTTCAAGTATCTGCCAGTGTACAGTCTAATAAGAATGTGCTAACAATCTAATACTGTCCTGCACGTCGTACACCGGGGTCGCTCCTAGAGTAACCAACAGCCGCTTATTAACCGTGTATGCGTGTGTGCGTGCTTGCGCCCAGTGCTGACGGCAGGCGCTCCGGCAGGAGGCCGCCCCGGCCGTAGAGAAGCAGGAGGCCGCCCCGGCGGAGAAGAAGGAGGAGGCCGCTCCTGCCGAGAAGAAGGAGGAGGAGGCGGCTCCGGCGGAGGACAAGGAGGCGCCCGCCGAGCCGGCGCCGGCGGAGAGCGAGGCGTCGGCGGCCGCGGTGAGTGTTCAGAGGGCGCCACCGGACCGAGCGGGCCCATTGGCCAGTCGGACCGGCGGCCTGCCACACATAGATGCCACCCGTCGGGATGTCGGACCAAGCTCAGGATGATTGTCGCACATCTTAGGTGCATAAATAATGGCTCAAATGATGGTGTTTCAGACACGGTTAACTCGCATACGGTGCATGGGACTGGATAAATATGCTGCGTCATACATGCGAAAGCCGACAAACCGTTCCAGACTCGCGCAATGTTGCATTAGTACCAATTTCATGAAGCTTCAGTTCGATTCTAGCTGTCAGTCCCATTGTACAATATTCGTGTATTACACCATCGATGTATTTTATCGTAAATCCGGCACCTGTAGACATGTCTCCGTGCTCCTACTATCGCACAGTGCGCTGACCCGTCTCCCGCCTTGTTGGCAGCCCGCGGCAGCGGAGACGGAGGCGCCCAAGGAGGCCGACCAGCCGGCGAAGAGCGAGGAGCCTCCCAAGGCCGACGAATAGCGGCCGTCCGGATCGCCGCGCGATCAAACGACGTCGCCACCCCAGCGGACAGCGCCGCCGAGACGACAGCCCGCGCGCGCCGCGCACCGGTGATACCGTGTACATAGCTTGTTGGACGCCGGCGGCGGCCGGGCGCGCGCGACGACACCATTCCAGTGGGCTGCGCCGATCCGGCCGGCCGCGCGAGCACCCATCTTGCCAGGAGGCGGCCGCTGTACGGATCTTTCAGTTGGACTGGCGCGGTGCGGCGGCCCCGCACTGAGAGCCGGGCGTAGGAGGACGCCAGAGAGGCGCCGCCGCCGGCCGGACGCCAGTGCGCGAGTGGCCGCCCAGACGGACGCCGTGATGTGTTGTTGCGCCGGAGTTGTGGGGCAGCCGCGTGGCGCGCGGACGGTCGCCGGCCCCACTGGCGGCGGGCTGCGCCGCAGCAGCGCGCCCTCTGAGTAGAAACTAGGTGATTCGCTTTCGATGTTTGTGCACATTTTTGTTCAAGTCGTGGTTTCACAGGTTCGAGACACTGTGGAAGAGACGACAATTACATTATGTAAATTGGTAATATTTGATAATAAACAGCTGTGGTCAAACCAACCGTAGTTATTGGCGTCTTCAGCAATCAGTTTATTCGCAAAACTGATTCTTGCGATGAACTTAGCTGCGTTTCGCACATTTCCTCACCTTGAAGTGTTATATCCGAATCCTGAGCTCACGTAGGCCTCTCACGTATCCTACTCTGAAGGCCTCTAAGCACTTGAGATTAGAGATCGGCACTCGGCCGTTTGCAGATTGCTGGCACGCAATTGTGCTACCATCACGTATCAGTCTGCGATGCTTACGTTCATATGTCCGATATTATAGCCCACCTGACATCGCTATTCTATGGTCTGTGACTGCGCAGTCGGCCGTTGTGTGTAGGTACGGCCAAGGGGTACGGCAGCGAGGGTGACTCGACTGCAGCGCCCCCATGTTATCTGGTAGGCCAGTCGAGTCATCGTTCCACCTTACACTGCCAGGTCTTGGACTCAGGTTATCGAACTGCCGGGGTCTGGCACTGAATATCGTGCCAGCGTATCGGACAGGCACCACCGTTATCATGTAAGCCCCGCCGTCATATCTCAACTCGACGGAAACTGACGGCACACCATGCTAAACACGGACTCGCACAATACAACGAATCTGAGCAATGCGCCCACCAGCCAAGTGCCGCAGGCTAGCCGGACAGTAACGGGACGTTGCTGTCGCTCCTCGGGGCCGGGTAGCGCGTTCGGTGACGCGCTGCCTCCCACGCGGTGGCGTGGTGAGCGATGACGCCGAGGTGCGGGTCTCGGTCCGATTGCTGCGCCACGGCTGTGGACTTTGGCCGCGCGCACAGAGGCCGTGGGTTGTTGCCGCTGGAACGAGGCGCCGGCGGTCGTCCCAGATCGATGACGTCAGAGCTGGAGGGCAGACAAAGGTGATGCACTGCCAGGTGGCCGATGAACCGACCCGGGCTGGCCCCTGAGCACCCTGGAAGTGCCCAGAATAGCGGATGTCCGCTGTTACTTTGTCGGCGAGCCCGCCAAGCCTCGTGACTGCCTGAGATCGCCGTAGATCCTGCCCATGGTTGTCTTATGCGCCAAACCTACCGATATGTCATGTAGTGAGACCAGTCTGACACATTGTTAGTACGGTGAGACATTCGCTATCGATTGACGTACGGTTACCTATCAACAAGCCTGACAGGTCAGCATCCCTCCACATAGGTACCATATAACTGCAGAGTGATGGTATTTATATTTGTGCACGCAGTGTTTACATTTGTCCCGCGTGAAACGAGCAAACATTATCAACTGGTTATCTAATTTGTCACTTCTTGATGTAACTTATCTATACAGGCTACGAGTGATCTTCCAGTCTGTCTTTCACCGACACGCTACGCTAAAAGCAAGACATAGGAAACGGTATTGAATCGTTTTTATGGCGTAAAATAGATAAAATGTCTCCCATCGCGCGGCGCCTCTGTTTTAAATAATTTGGTCTCCGACTCACGGTACTTACACATCCGTTCTTCGTGCACTGCCGTTGTTACTCACATTTTCTGATCGTACATCGGCGCTTTCAGTCAATGTTTATCGTCGTTTACTTGTCGAATAGTGCCCATTTTCCCACAAGCCTGCAGCCTGTTGTTGGATCAGCTGGCAATCACTGGGGTACACCTGCCAATGTTGATGCATTTATCTCCGAGTGGTGTCAGGGGCTGCCCCCCCCCCCAACCCTGGTCTGACCGGGTGCCCCGCTAGCTGTTTAAACAGTGTCATCGGACCACCCAGGGGCGTGTTCAGGGTCCCCGCTCGGGAAGGACGGACTGGCAAATACCAACAGAGCCGGAATTACTGCCGAATAAAGGACTGGTGAGTCCACGACAGGCCGAATCAGCAACCAGCTCTGTCCAGCCCTTTCTGAGCCAAGGACGGGCTGAGGTCGACCGTCAGCTCGCCCCTCTGTCTGAGTCGCTCACGCTCACCCTCTCCCCGTTCTCAGCTGTTCCGTTTTCAGTGGACGGCGGGGTGGCGACCAAAGGTCAGACGGCCCGCGGCACTGGGTGAGCCGCGCGGCCGGACAGCCCGCTCAGTGCGTCCGGGTGCGTCAGACGCGCTGTGGACCGCTCCCGCTGCGCCCGGTCCGTCGGTCCGTCCGGCGCCCAGTCCGACGCGCCCCGCCGCCGCCGCTGCCGGCGCCATGGCCGGCCTGCTATCGGGCGCGTGCTCGGCCGCCGCCGCCGCCGTCTCAGTGTGGGCCAACGCGTGCCTGGCGACGTGCTCGCTGCTCGTGTACGGCCGGATGCCGCGCCGGTTCTACACGCCGGCCGCCGCCGGTGACCGCCTCTGGGCCGCCGCCAGCCACGCGCTCAGCTACGCGGCCGTGCTGGCCGTGGCCGTGCTGGTGGGGGCGGCGTGCGCGGCCCGCGCCCTGCTGCGCCGCGTGGTGCGCGGCGGCCCGGCGCCGCCCCCCGAGCGGCTGCTGCGCGGCCTGCCGCCCAGCCGGTGGCTCGAGCACAGCTCGGTGAAGATCAGGGTAAGTCCAGGGGCTGGGGGTTCGGTGGTGGGCCCGTCACCGGCGATGTCGGTGTCTCTGTCTGTGTCGGGCTGGGTGGTAGACGGCCTTGTCAGGGTCGGGTAGGTGGCAATGTCAGTGGGGTTAGAAGGTCGGGCGCAGGTGAATCGCTCAGTGTCAGGTGCGAGAGCTGGGGGAACGGAGAGGAGCGGGCTATTCTGCGCACCTGTCAGGCGTCAGTTTGCACGTCGCACGGTATGGTGCAGCGAGACCATTCCGACGCCCGGCCTCACAGGGCCGTCGGGGAGCAGTGTCCAAACCGGCCCGACGGCCGATACCTACAACCGCTCACCACGGATAGGAGCCATATGCCGAAAACTGCTTATTGATTGCATGAGCTGCTGATATTTCATTAGTGACAATCGGTTCAATGTGCAAGTGAGAAAACGCGCATCGCGAAAGGCATTCTGTCCTAATACCTTACCTGTCCTGTCCGACAGCTCACCATTCTAACACTCTATCCTGTCTGACAGCTCACCGTTCTAACCGTGTCCCGTCTGACACCCACCAAACTAACCCCTGTTCTGTCCGGCGGCAGAACATCAAGCTGCATTACGTGTCGGCCGGCCGCAGATCCAGGCGGCTGGTGCTCTTCTTACACGGCTTCCCCGAGTTCTGGTACTCGTGGAAGGAGCAGCTGAGGGAATTCGCCAAAACGGAATGGTGAGAAAACGGTGCCTTTGCGTCCTTTGGATGTGCAATGTGCATGCAGTTAAAGGGACCCTCCCACCTTAAAGGGACCCTCCCACCTTCAAAAAAGTTTATGAATTGGCATGAAAGTGATGTCGCTCGGTTCAGAAAGAGCGAGAACGATTATCTACCAAATTTCACCGAAAAATATTCACCGGTTTTCAAGATATTAGACTTTTACTTTTGTTTACTTTCTTGGGATCTCCGCTGTTTCTAGCGACTTTATTTTAGAAGTGCGGCGTTTGCGGCAGATGTTGCGCGCAAATAGCATATACCACCGCGTGCTACAAAACGTTTTAGTCAAACATTTAAAAATCGTTAGATATTTGCGCTGACGTCACACATTCAGAGGGGTATTCCTAAGCATTAGCCCCTCTGAATCAAAATGCTGCAATTTTGAAATTCAATATTTCCGATTTAAGGCATTTCTCGATGTTGTGAGTGCCGAAACCGGTAATTGTGAGCCAGGGACCCCATTTTGGCTATCTCAACTCAAATCTAATGTTAAGGTGGGAGGGTCCCTTTAACATTAGTTTTGAGTTGAGATAGCCAAGTTTGCGGCCAGGCTCAGAAACCACCATTTATCTTGGTCGCAACCCCCGCAGCTTTATGGTGTTCAAGAAATTTCTTCCCTTTACTTGCAGGGTGGGACCAGCGTGGTCCCTATCTCTTAACCATTACGGGAATCTGATGACGTCATCAGGCTTTCGAACGTCCGTTATTAAGTTTGACTAAAACGTTTTGTAGCACGCGGTGGTATATGCTATTTGCGCGCAACATTTGCCGCAAACGCCGCACTTCTAAAATAAAGTCGCTAGAAACAGCGGAGATCCCAAAAAAGTAAACAAAAGTAAAAGTCTAATATCTTGAAAACCGGTGAATATTTTTCGGTGAAATTTGGTAGATATTCGTTTTCGCTCTTTCTGAACCGAGCGACATCACTTTCATGTCAATTCATAAACTTTTTTGAAGGTGGGAGGGTCCCTGCTAGTAAAATCGTTTTGTTCCACGTTTGTCGTCGCTCCTATTCATAAGACTCTAGGACTCTAGGACGTTCATTTAGTGTCTTATCCTCGTCTAGGACGCTGGTATGTGCTTTAGTATGGCGGAACTTTCACCAATCAGTAGTACCTAATCAGAGCTGTACCTATGATACGCTCTTTTCCTAGTTCAATTATTCGCGGACGGAACATCAAGTATCTAGCTTGTATCTAGAAATTGAATAAACTTCATGCTTCTTATAACCAAGTATCAGTGTTCCGTCGTTTCGAGCCGGCTCGGCCCGTTCGGTAATCGCTGACGGTGCGCCAGGTGCCACGGCGACGACAGTGTTTGACACGTGTCTGAGTCGGCGCCCTCGCGTCAGCGGCTTTTTATCACCGCGCGGCCACCGACAAACGCCACCGCTCTGTAAACTGTGGCCTCGTGAGCACGTGCAGCGCCACGTCTCAGCCACGAGGCCGCGGGTTGGTCGGGCCTGCCGAGCCGCCGACCGGCCAAAGGTCACCGCGGGGCTCGGGCTCCTTCAGGGTGGCTCTGTGGGGCACGGGCTCCTTCAGGGTTGAGCTGCGGGACCGCGGGACACCTAAGGACACATCCAGACATCCAGACACAGGAACTGGGTAGTACTAACTTATCCCCGTGGAGTTTTGTGCGCATTGACTGCCCTTCCTCTGCCCCTCTGGCCTCCGCTGGTCCGTGCTGCCTCCCTCGACTGGTGCCCCCCTGTGACAGCCGGTGCTACCCCGCAGGGTGGTGGCGCTGGACCTGCCGGGCTACGGCGACTCTGACGGACCGCGGCGCTCGGCGCAGTACAGCCCCGACCGGCTGACGCCGCTTCTGCAAGAGTTCATCGCTTCGCTAGGTGAGTCATGGATCTGTGGGGATCACGGTCCTGTGTAAGGTGTGAACCTGTGAGATACAGGTCTGTGAGACACGGGGGCTGTCGATGGCGATCTCGGGGCTTCCTCGTTGATTGGCCCGTCAGTTCCGAGCGCCGTGTCAGTTCCTCCTGAGTCGCGTTGCCACGCTTCTGGTTTACAACATGCAGCCTGAACCGTTTCGCTGCTCCAAACCCCTTCCGTGTGGTGTTGAACGGGCCGGGGATAATGTTTGCAGGGTACCCGCTGCTGACGGGGCTCAGTGTGTGCAGGGTACCCGTTGCTGACTGTGGGTTTTGTGTGTGTTGGGATTACCGTTGCTGAAGGGGCCCTGTGCCTCTGTCCCGGACAGGTCGGCAGCAGTGTGTGCTGGTCGGCAGCGGCCATGGCGCCCTGCTCGGCTGGCACCTGGTGGCCAGCGCGCCGCACACTTTTACCGACTTCATATCCATCTCGCAGCCGCTGCCGCACATCACACTCGACGTTTTACACAACTCGCTTCATCATAAGGCCAAACAATGGTGAGGGCGTCGGCTGGCTTTGTGACTTTTTGTAAAAGACGGCCTGCAAACATTCAGATACCTTTCTCAGTAAGACTTGGTGGCCGTTATTGTCTTCATGATGTATGTATTTGACAAATTAAATAAATTTACTTCAACCAGTCTGTTGTTAGTGCTGATGCATCGGCTACAACTTTTAGCTGACATTCTGAGAATTAATGTCTAGTGTAGATCATGTGAAATGTGAGCTAGTGAACCTCCACGCTGTTCCTAGCGGCCATACGGAGTGACGAGCCTCCGCGCCCAGTCCGGACGATATCTACCGCTCCGCTCGGCGCACCCGCGGTGAGCCGGCGCTGACCGCCTGACGGCTGGCCCGCAGGCGCACCTTCCTGTACCAGCTGCCCTGGCTGCCGGAGCAGCTGATTGGTACTGGCGACCTGGACGTGCTCACCCACGAGTACGGCGACCTGGTCAAACGCGGCAGGATGAGCGCCGACGACCTGCGTGCCTACCAGTTCGCCTTCTCCCGAGCCGGTGAGGCCCGACCGGCGGCCCCGACAGAGGGGGTCGGTCACCAGTGGGCAGACCCTGCCGGTCACCAGTGGGCAGACCCCGCCCGGTCACCACTGGGCATACCCGCCGCCAAAGGTCGGCCCCCGCGTGTTTGTGATTACTGAGATGGTGACGTGGTAGGTCGCTTCTTCGGAGCGACGGCGAAATTCGTGGAACTGTGGATGTGATGAGGTCGGCGCTATCGGCTGAGTGATGCCCGCCGCCCAGGCGGCTGTCGCCAGGGTGGGGGTGGTGGGGTCGCGGGAGGGGGATCGCGATAGAAAATAAACTGTCGGGCGCAGAATGGGGCAGGCCATTCGAACTACTGAAGGAAAATATTTCGCCGGGGTTTGTTTTGACTGCACGCTCTACCCGGCAGAGGACTGGCACGGTCCGCTGAACCACCAGCGGTGCCTGTTCGCGGCGGCCAACGGCCGGCCGCCGCCGGGCCGACTGGCGGTGCCCTGTCTGCTGCTGTTCGGCCGCCGAGACGGCTCGCTGCCCGTGGACGCCATGTACCGCAGCCTGCCGCACCTGCAGCAGGCCGACGTGCGGCTGGTGGACGACGCCGGGCGGCACATCCACATCGAGAGGCCCGACCAGGTCAACGACGCCCTCAGGGACTTCATCGGAGGTGAGCGGAACGGGAGGGAGGGTGTGAGCGGGACGGGAGGGGGTGTGAGTGGGACGGGAGGACGCTGCCACTGATGGTCGGAACGGGATGGCGCTTCTTAGTTCTTGCCTGTACACTGACTGCAAATGCATCCCAGGATGGGATGAAAATGAGTTGTTTATAGAGAATCCAGGAATATGAACAATGTTTTAATTTGTGTGAATATTGATCAATAGACACTAAGTTCGTTCTAGCCTACAGAAGCCGCCATGACCTACCCTCCATTGCTGTCACGCGGTGCGGGTCCCCACCCGCTATTGTGTTGGTGGTGGTAGAACTATGTGCCGCGCCCGGTCTGGCCGTGACTGACCCGCCCGCTCCCCGGCCAGTCTCGTTCCTGGACGACTCCTCTGAAGACGAGGAGGACGGCGACGGCCTGGCGCCGGCGGCCGGCCGCGGACTGGTGGTGCGCGCCCTGGAGGGCGGCCAGGGCTGGCTCGGAGCCGGAGGAGCCATCTACAACCGCGCCATGCAGCGGCTCAACAACGCCGCCGCCGTCGGCCAGCTGTACACGCGCAGCGTCATGATGCTCAAGGACTGAGGTCGCGCCGACCGCGCCGGGCGGTGCAGCGGGACGGGCATCACAGGGATGTATTTGTTAGCCAGCTCTTCAGGTAAGGATTCGCTACAGACGGGAGCCGAACATTATGTCCGGTACAGAGAATAGGGCCGCGATGTGAGATGTGATGTGTGGGGGAGCAGGGTGGACCGTCCGGTAGGGCCATCTAGTCTGGGCCGCGCTGACACAGTAGCACCACCTGTGTAGTTCGGGACGCCCGAGGTCTCTAGCCAGGGTCTCTCCGCGGTCCAATATTAGGTACCTGTTTAGTTCGGGACGCCCTAGAGGTCTCTGGCGGGGGTCTCTGCGGACTAAGATTGGGCCATCTGTAAGTTAGAGCTGTAGCCAGCGCGGGCCGCCTCCATTTCCCCGGGTCTCAGTTTATCCTCGCAGTGTGTGATATGGAGGGTTGTGTGTGGCCCGCCCAGCGGGGCCGCTGGGGTGCCTGCACTGCTGAATGTGACGGTGGGTTAGAAGGTCGCCCGTCGTCCTCACTGAATTATAACGGCCATCGCCGTCACAGAGCTCATCGGTGTTCTCGTTGCATATCCCGTCCCCGCTATTTTACCGAAATACTGGTACTCTGTACAGCACCAGTGGTCATACTCGCCATTCATCTGTTAGTGAGTGGTTTTGAAGTTCTTTGGAACGGCTCTCACTGGAAGTTTGTGACGCGCTCATATGTGGACTCGTTTAAACGTGCCCGCGACTGCGGTCCCAAAGGAAGTGTTAATGTTTTATGGATATCATTTTATGCCGCTGTTTTTGTCTTTCTCGTGTTTGGTACAGGCGTCTGTTGCACAAACCGTTATTATGATATCGTATTAATGTGTGCTAAATATATACCATTACATTTGTAGAACGTTTAAAGGACAACGAGCACCATGCGCCGGTAACGTGCCAAATGCAGGTACTGCGCTGATCACGAGCGGGCGAGGGGTGTTCCCTTGGAGGCGGGGATAAATGGTGTTCCTCTACAGATATATTCCTACAGACAAGGATGAAAGGCGTTCCCTGCAGGTGTTCCTCATGGGTGAGAAGGGCATGTGTTCCCCTACTGGCAAGGATGAATATTGTTCCCATTCTGGGGAGGACGAAGGGTCTTCCCTTAACCTACGAGGGAGGCAGGTGCTCCCTTAGCTTTGCCATCCAATACCCAATAGGTACCCAATACTCTATTCTATTTTATTCGTAGGTGCCTGTGTGGTGAATGTTTCGATCCTTCGTTCGTTCGCGAATTTCTCATAGATTGATGCCATTAGTTATTATTAATAGGGTCTAAGGAGAGCGGCTGATAGCGTTAGGCATTAGCGTATGTCTCACGGATGCCGACGTGTTCTCATAATGAGCCGTTTTAGCGCGCCTGGCTAAGCGCCGGGCTCACTACCTCCTCTCTGCGGAGCACTCTCCGAGGGCCGGCTTTGTTTCTCCGCCCGTCTGGAGCCGGATTTATGTCCGTCGTTAAAACCGCCGGACTGCATACCCGATGCGGCGCCGTCATTTCGACCGCGGCTGGTTCGAGGACGCCCCTCTCTGTGTTCTCGCTCAGCTTCCAGGTGGCCTGACGACCCCGGTCTGCAGTATCCACCAATTGTGAGCGCCCATTCGGGGACCTTTTAGCTGTCACAGGGCCTCCCCGTTCTGCTGCCGCCGACACTGTCGCCCTCATCTCGGCGGCGCGGCGGCCCGCTCGGCGCGCCGCGAGTATCGACCCCGGCTCGGCACGCACCGACCCGGCGCCGCCGCCGACTGACGGCGCCCTAACGTCGTTAGTCGGCCGGCGGCGACGCAGGCGGTTCCCGGGCGCTGCTGTCGCCGCTCCGGAGCAGTTCCTGTGCCAGTGGTGGGTGGTGGCGACCGGCGGCTGAGTACTTCCGCCGCATATTTCCGGCCCGCTGCGCGGCGCGGGCAGCCTGTTCCGCCCGGAGCTCGGACTGACAGGGAACGGAGCCAACAGCAACCGGTGAGGGACGGCGCCGCCCGGAACGACTCTCTTTGTTTGCTTTCACGCTCCGTTACGGAGTGACAACTGAGCGAGTCTTTAGTCAGGCGAGGCGGAGGTGGGCGTAGATATGTCTCTCTTAGCCGCTCACTCAACGACTTTTAATGCAACTACGCATGGGTCGATCAAGCAACGCATTTTATTAATTGGACCTAATTAAACGTCTTTTACTGTGTCTATGTAAGCGGCTGAGCAGTTGCGTGTGTACCTGTAGATAATAAAAGTCAATTTTTTACCTTTTTGGGCGGCAAGACACCTAATCCCAACAAACAGAGCTACGTCAGGTGAGGAAGGGAGGCGCCTTGCAAGCTGATGTTAGCACTTAGGTAGTCAGCGCGTGAAACGCGTTGGATAATAAATGACTGAGCACACTTGTTTTCCTGACGGGAAAACGATAGACCCAAAACCTCAGGACCGGCAGAAGCAGAAAAAAAACGTGCGAAGTCCCGCCATTCCGCAGCCTCGTGTCTGTCTGAATCCGAGCTATGCGGTACAGCATACTTTTAGGCGCGCGACGCTGGCGCCATCTGTTGAGACTATATCAACCACGAGTCCGCGGCCGTGACTGAAGGGAGCTGTGGGAGGGAACACAGCCAGTCGGGCCGGTGAAAAGTGTTCAGTTTTTGAATGACCGGGATAACAGCAGGGCCAGACCCGGTGATTCTGCAACAGGGACCTACGGGCTCCCGGTAATACGGTGACCGGGATAACACGGCTCCCGGTGATAGGTACTTACTGTGACCGGGATTACGGCTCGCGGTGATACTGTAACCGGGATCATAGGGCTCCATGTTACAGTATTCTGAGTGGTAATACCAGATACCTACCATTCCTTGGTATCTTCGATAAAAAAACTAAAAGACCTTCAAACACAGATTGGCAGTAGCCAGTGGCCCTTAGCAGGTAAAAACAAAGAACAAGCGGTGAATAGAGAAGTCAATCGACTATATGGCTTCTGTTCCGTGTCAGCCTGTTAATGGTCTTCACGTGACGCGTACGTACGTACCTACCTACCAGCCCACACCAGAGTCTAGTCGGCCGTGAATGGGGCGATGGGGGAGTATCGGCACTAACAGGCGAGTCCATTGATGATAGGTGTATTGTCCTAGCTGGGTACCTGTAGAGCCATGGGAACAGGGCCTCGGCTAAGGAATTTTGACTACTGGGGCAAATGGTCGAAGTGTGTTAACCTGCGCCCTGCTGGGGGGTGGGGGTGTTTGAACACCCCCCCCCCACTGCGGTTTTCCGCGGATATCTCAAAAACGGCGGCGCCGAGCGCCACACCTTATCATCCACCAATTCTACACATGACAGTACACATGTTATAATAAGTTAACACCAAGGTCATTCAAGGTCAGGTCACCAGGTCACTTCAAGCGACCTCATAAAATGTTTCAATGATGCCATAGCTACAATGAGAGACCGATCGCTTTGAAACTTTCAGCGATTGATAAGGACAACAGTATAGAGCAGTGAGCACTTCACGGATAGGCTTTTCAGGATCAAGTCCGGCCTACATCCAGCAAGTCATGTCCGGATCCGCCCATTATCTGCCTTCCTTTGAATTTCAGAATCCGGCCCGGCCATGGCCGACATAGTTCAGCCAAACATCCAAATATCCATAATAATCCGTTTCACCAAAAACTGGCTGTGGACTATCACAAATTCACTGTAAGGGACCAGACAACCATATACTCGTATCTCACTCACGGTTCACAAAGCCATGCTTCTGAATCGCATGTACCTAAATCAATAAATACCTCTGCTGCTGCTTAACAAGTTCAGTTAACTTTTTACATGAACATTACGTACAAAATTTATATCTCGGAATTTTCATATCGGTGACCTCAGGTCAATTTTGCGACTTCTAGGTTTTATAAGTCAATGGGAGAAAATTTAAAACCGCCTCTCTTGGACGAAAGTCATTCTAAACACTCTCAAACACTGAACTACAAGTAACTTTGACACACTGAACATGAAAATGGCATCCGTGACCGTGTTTATACCTCTGAGGTCATTTCAGGTCACAAATGGTATCTAACAGTTTTTCGCGACTAACTTTTGAAAGAGGCATGCTAGAGCGATGAAAACGCCTTATATGTGTTCAGCTCGACGATACGGATCCACTGATATGCAACATGACAATTTCCGGTCAGATCAAGACATTGACCTGAGATCAAATTTTCAAGTTGACCTTTAAAGATCAAATCATAGTTCATTCGATGCGTCTTGACGAGAGGGACACGATGTCGGTAAAAAAAGCTCGTGCAAGGCTCGAGTCAAATTCGATATTGCAGAAAAAACTGTTCCCGAAAAATTCGTCTATTTTGGAAGTTTCTGCCTCCTGCAGGCAAAACCGTTGACGTTAGGTCAAATTTGAGAGAAAAACCCAGAAAAAACGCTAATATGGCTATCAAATGCGCTTTTCCGCAGCGCTGTAGCTCTATTGGTTCCCGAGTCATACGTCGGCATCTTGCAAATTGTCGATATTCAACCTGAAAATCGGCGAAATTTGGCCTTTAATGACCACCATAACCTGACTTTTGACTGACCAAAAAAGTGGCCGAAGTAGTTTCATCATTATTTTTGACGCTTTTTCGAACGACGGGTAGCTTATGGATTATGGAGGTGCAAAAAGGTATGTTTGGCAATGCACGCCTATGTTTTTGGATGGTAATTGAGGGTGCAGCTCCACACCATGCACCCTCTCTTCCGCCGCCCCTGATTTCTTGCCACAAACGTCTTCAACCGCTCCCGAGTGAAAGAATGTACGTTAATATTAAGATATTATCATTTTGTAGAGGTTGGGCAAAACCTGATCACTACTGGGGCATTCCTTGACTCTACTGGGGCATTTGCTCCAGTAGTTACATGTTAGCCGAGGCCCTGCATGGGAACGGCCAGACGATGTGACTGACTATTGGGTGAGTCCAAGCCAACAGCGGCGAGCATCACCGCACTACTGCGTCCGGATCGTCACACCTATCCAGGACAGGTAACTGCTGAAGACGGGACACGCAGCCCTCATTTGGAGAAAATAGACACAAAACATGAATTCATACCACAGGCATACCTAACAGTTCAATATCAGTCTTACGGGAGCTATTATGAAAAGACATGCCTCCAACTTATAAATAAATTCACGCCACGTTCGAGGTGTCTGGGATCCTCGAATGGCTGGCAGGCCGGTCCAAGTAACATTTTTAAAGGGAGATAATGAGCTTTCTTGTTTCTTAAATAAAAATTACTCGACATCTATACTATTTCTACTGTAGTTTCTATAAAATATGAAAATTTCCTAGCACATTTTCGTATGTGAAAAAGGTTTTTATTTTTGCAAAAAAGAAGCAGTACTTGCAGTACTTGTAACACCCACCGAAATGCGTTGTCCTTCTCTATAAAAAAGTCGCAGTAGGTATATGGCGCTTTTGTTTCAAACAGCGACGCTTGGGTTTTTGTTTATGGTATCGCCTTGTCGTTGCTTGGTTGTAAGGATTCTAATTTGAATTGGAGTTAATTCGGTTTAGAATTAATTAGATTCTAATTCGGGGGTACATAGTGCCTACTCTTCTTTGTTTCCAAGCGCCACAAATGAACGGCATGCGCCAGAAACGCAGCCAAATCTTGCGATTGCGACTACGAAATTCATTATTTTGGCCTCAGAGCCTGAAGCGAAAAATACAAGCATATTTATTTCAAAAAGACTTCAGGTTTGTCGAACGGTGTTATGAGAATTTTGATAACAGTACTGCATAAGTTTTTCAGTGATGCCGCAAAAGTGTTGTATCTATCTTCTTTTATTGTGCAGTCGGCGGGACCGATTCAAAATTGAGTCGTTGCTACTAAAATAGCAGCATATGGCGACAGATGATGAACAGGAAAAATAGTTGCGTAAATTTAGACATAAACCACCCCCAAACCATTAATATCTTTTGAAGGCACTATAGACGACCATTAACTAACTAGATGTGATGAAGATCAAATGTGAGGAATACGCTCATTTTACAAAATTACATGCAAGTACCAAAAAGTGATGTAAGTACTTATTCAACGGTCATTTTCAGCGCTCCCCGCTAACGTGACTTCAAGTTGAGATATTTGCGGCAAGGTACCGAATTGAGCAAAATGGTTTTAATTTACATTATAACTTGTTGTGTTTTGTCAGAAAATGGTCCTAACTCAGATTTTGTGGAAAAAGGTCATAATCTCCCTTTAAACCAGCATAAAAAGCATTCCTCCGAGCAGATGAAGACGCCAGTCCGCCAGGCGAGCCGCCAAACGTCAGGATAGCTCAGCTTAAAGTGTCGCCTGGGGATTTCTCCCGGAGACCGACATGACGGCATCCATCAATATCTGGCTGTCAGTCTCGAACTGACACAAACACACGTGACGCGTCAGCAGCGGTATTGGAGGAGACCGCTCCCTGCGGGAGGTGTTCAACACGCGGTCACGTCTCGAGCATCACACATGACATAACCCACTGTACGCCACCCGCCGCGGCCCCGGCAGCCGTCTCAACACAAGGCGCGAGCTCGTGGTAAAGCGTGTGTAAAGGGCCCGTTTCCGGTGTCGGGCGCGCCGCGCCGTTCCGGCGCTGCGCCGGGGCACGCCGTTTGGCAGGGGGCGGCGGCGACGGCGCCAAGTCGGCCGTCCGACCTCCCCTCCCCGGCCACATTCCACTCACGCCGCCGCCCGTCGACAGTGGCCGAAACGACGACCGTCCGTGTCGACGGAGCCGGGACGGACGTCGCCGCCGCCGCGCCGATCGGCGTCGGCAGGCCGGAGCTCAGGCGACAGAGGTTCTCGGCTGGCGGAGCTGGTGACAGGCGAGCGGGAAGAAAAGGCGAAAGGAATGATAGGTGAGATAGAAAACCGAAAGGCGAGAGAAGATCAGAGAGAAGAGAGATGATCTGGACGTAAAGAAGCGGCAGATAAAAGTTAAAGGCAGTGCAGAGAAAACAAAGTGTAGGAAATATGCCCCTGCGACGCATTCAGGATTACGAGCCCTCCATACCGACTCCGGAAGGCACTCATTATATTCAACGGCTCTGCCGAGGCAGGGTGCCGAGGCTCCCGTCTCCCTTCCTCTGCGCCAGTCGCCAAATGACGGCGGCCGGCCCGCCCCGCGCCATCAGTCGCGCCGTGCTCTCAGCGCTGACGTCTGCCGGACTCGTAGCGACGCGGCCGCCCGCTCGGAGGGAAGGGAGGCTCTCAGCCCGTCTCCGGTCATTGGGCGTACCGCCACCGTCGGCCGCGGGCCGCCGTCAACTTCACCGGCCAATGACGGAGATACTCAGGCATCGGGATAGCAGATATTACCTGCTTACAGACAAGCTGTCTGTAGCATACGCCAGCTGTGTCATTTTCGCCACAAGGCCATTGGGGTATAAGGCGGTTTTCCGCCAGATTGTAAGCCCGAGCTGCGTGCCCGTCCGTCACGAGACTCACTGCAGCGTTGCCAGTTGCGTCGCCACTCGCAGTTGCCATTTGTATTCAGCGACGAACCCAAGGACAAACGGATGGCTGCATGCGCGAGAATGCAATGCAATGAAGTAGATCCTGCACCAAGTCACGCACTGCAGGAAGAGAATCAGCATCTGTGAGGAAGGCAGCGTTTCTCGGCCCGGCCGTCGCGGGTGACGTGTCCCGTATCTCGACACCGCCGATTTTCACATCCGGAGCAGGTGGGCGTCTCAGCGGCTGCGACCGAAGGGAACACGGGCGACATCCGCTCCCATGCCGTCCCGACCATGTTTTACAGCGATCCGAACCGGCCGAGCCCCAATTATTGCCCAGTGTCGGCGGCCCGGGGACTCGCACGGACTGCCAGAGGCGGCGGCTGCTTCCGTCCCTCCCCGCCGCCCGGTGGCCGGCTGGCGCACGCCGCCGCGGGGGTGCTGTAGTAACAGCGGGGGAGGGGGAGGGCTCGGTTGTAGGGGGAGGGAGGGCGCTGACGGCCGCCGGCCGCGCTGACGTGCCGCACGGAGCGCAGTGCAGTCAGTGGCCGGCCGGCGCCGACCGAGGCGCGTGCGTGTGGGCCAGACGAGAGACGTAGACGTCCTAAGTGTGTGTTTGCCGGGCTGAGACTAGCGGAACGGCCGGCGCGGCTGGCCGGATAGTCGCCGACGGGCGTGAAGTCACGGCTGAAAGGCTGCTGATAACCGCCCGAGTGATATCCGGACTGCGGCGGACCTGCCAGCTGCCACTGCGCCCCGGCCCGCGGGAGATCCGGGCTCGAGGATCCTCCACAAGGTGACTGGGCCTCTGTTGGGAGTTGGGACGGGGCCCGCCCTGACCCACCGTCCCACGTGGGACGGGGCCACTGTCCTCACCGCAGTTCTACCGTCTGCTATCGATGGCCACTGACGGGTCCCTTCTGGGGGTGCCGTGTCGATCTGTGAGTCACGTCTGGTGAGGGGACGCCGTCGGCGCCCGGCAGTCCAGCCTGCCGGCCTGCAGAATCAATACAGAGCCGATTGTGCAGGCCGGCCGGCGGCGAGCCGGCGTAGAGCGAGGTGCCGGAACGGGCCGGTCCCTGCAGTCCCGAGCGGGCTCATCAGTGCTCAGCAGCGCGGACCGCAACTTCATTCCTACAAAACTAACAATCCATTATAGAGTTCATCCCAAGCGGCCCCGTGCACCGAGCCCCTGATTGCCAACTGGATTTGTACCCTCACCAGAGGGCCCAGTCCCCCTGCCCCCTCCCACACAGTAATCACGGCCACTTGAGCGCGTTCCACGCCGGAGGTCGGCCATCCGTTATCTGGACCTAGTGCGTGCCTCTGTGTGCCGGGAGGAAGCTGCAGCAGCACGGCTCGCCGGCGATCGGTAGGAACGACCAATGCCACAGTCCTGCCAAAGACTCGACCTCTGTGTAATGAACCGTGGCTTTGGCTGTCTGGCAACGAAACACGCTGAATTTTTTATCAACTATTGCTATGAATCTTATCTTCATTAATCCGGAAGAGATTAAACAATTTCCAATATAAGAAGAAAATGATCATTTTGAGCGAGCTCACAGGCACTATTCAGCAAAACGATGCCACCCAGCAATAGCGAACATCATGGGGAACATCATGAGCAGGAAATTGGACATGTGAGCTGCGGCTTTGTTCAGCTGTCCTGCGCCTCCTCCTGTTGCGGACACCTAATGTCGGTCGTATCCGGTCAGCCCGGGCGTGTACCGCTGCTGGCGACCCATTCACTGCAGCGGTGGTGAGCGACGGGCGCAAACTGCACTAACAGAGAACAGACCAGATCCGACAACAAACTCACACGAGGCCTGATGTAACCGGGATACATAGTTGGAGACGTTAACGACTAATTTGGGGTCCACGACAACTTGCTAAACCTTTATAAGGTCACGTCGAGGCACGAGTTAACATCCATTTATAAGCATTCCGTTAAATGGGTACATTCTCTGCGCAAAAGTGGACTTTTGCTGAAACACCAAGGGCTAATTTTCCCAGTAGGTACCTAATGTCTAAAAACCCAATAAACTTCGTGCGTACCTACATATGCTTCCTCGAAACATTGAGTATCAAAGGATATTTTTGGTAGTGAAAGGCATGTGAGCAATGGGCAACGTCAAAGCGTCTGATTCTTCACCCAGACTCTGCAAAGCCAAATCGAGCGATTATCGAAGACACTGTCGGAAAACCTTTGCATTCCTCGAGAAACTGCCATATAAGTCAGGCGAAATGATACAGGCTTCGAAGGCTCCACTTCTCGACGAGGTCTGCACTTATTTAGAGGCATTTCAACTTGAATGCAACACGGAAGAATCGACATCACGACCGCGAGAGAATGAGGCGATAAATCAAACGAAGAGATCCTCGATGGGCAGCTCGTCATGGCAAACTACCGGAACGTTCCCGGGCCATGCCGTCCACACTGTCCGGAAACGGTCCGGGCAAACTACCCCGAGTCATACTGGCGACCTCTTTCCTCCTCTCTCTCTCTCTCTCTCTCTCTCTCTCTCTCTCTCTCTCTCTCTCTCTCTCTCTCTCTCTCTCTCTCTCCACGCCCCCCCTGAACGATGACGTCACCGTACCGTCCACAGCGCACCCACTCTGTTCCGGGGGCAGTTCCGGCCCGATCGTTTGAAGAGCGGGCGCACCTGCCGCTCTTCCGGCCGGCCCGACCCCTCTGTCTTCGGTAGCCGGCGTCACCGGCGCTGAGCCCGGTCACCGGGTTCCACAGGGCCGGCTCTCCGGTCAGCTCGCGGTCAGGGGTCACCGTTCCGGGCCGGGCATTTTGGGGCTACTGGCGGTCGATGCGGCCTGACAGGCATTGTTCCACAATTGTTCTCACTCGGTCGATATCAGTGGTTGATGCATTATCAGCCGTTTATCGTATATCCGCCGTACATCAAAGATAATGAAGCGAGGTGGCTTTGGTGGCAATACTGGCTTTATGACTACTCACTGGACATCATACAGGGCGACGATAAGTCAGTTTTGTTGGACAATGCTAATAACATTGCTGTCAGTCCTTTTACTGAAACCTAACTGTGTTCATATTGATCGTGGCTATTCCCAGATGTTCAGTGACACTGCTGGCAGCTGGAGGCCAGATATACCTAAGGCTTGGAACACTAAGGTGCCTCACAATTCGTCCGGAAAACGTGCAACAGCAGCGACGCGAGGACCAAGCCCACGAGCGCGATGTGGATTCCAGTTATGACAGGCAAGACGGGTGGCCTGGCCCACATCGGGTTTATCACGGTCGACCTTGGGTTGGGACACTGGTCTGGATGTGCTCAATGCATGAGCAGTGGAATGCGGCATTATAAACAAGATACAAGCCCAGGCTTGAGTGGAAATTCGAATACGAGAAGAACTAGTATCGTATCTAGACGCACAGGAATCTATATATGCGGTCAGATTCACCTGACTGCCACAGCCGACAGCGCCGCGGATTCACGGCAGCGCCCTGTCGCGTCGCTGGCTGGTGCTGCCGACTCAGCACCCAGTCGTTTGTTGGTCGAGATTTCCACTGTAAACAGCCATCAGTTCGGTGCGCCAGCGCCCGCTGACCGGAGTCGGCGCCCGCAGTGGCCGGGGGCTGCCGCCCGGCCCGGTGTGGCCCCACAGGACCCGGTGCGGCCCTACCGACCGGCCCGGTGTGGCCCCACAGTGCCCGGTGCACACAGGACCACGCCCCGTGAGTCAGCGGCGCTCGATTCGGGCCGCGCCGTTTGTTGATGTCGACCGCGGCCGCGTCGGTGGTGCGCCGGCCCAGGTAACGGCGGGGCACCGGGCCAGGCGCCGCGCGGCGCCGGTCCATAATGGACCGCAGTGCTAGCCAGTGGTGTCGGTCCACCTCAGGGCTCGATATCGGGCCCGGCGACTACGGATGACTCACCGGCTGCCCGTCCAGCCGTCTCAGCAGCAATCGACGTATATTGCGGAACAGCGACAGGGTTAGATAGCGCTCATCCATCCTCGAATCGATCGGAGACGGGAGGCGCGACGCGGCCCCAATTTCCGTCCGACGCCGCCCGGCCCGGCGCAAGATTAAAGCGTCAGCGGGATGGCCGGCCCGGGAGGAGGCGGCGACCCTGCGGATGGGCCGAGCCCGAGGTCAGCCAGGCCGCGTCAGCTCACATCGCGCAATGGGGTGACGGCATGCCGGTCCTCGCTCAACATCTTCGTAAATACTGATAAACGTTCGTATCAGTGCTGAGCATTGTACTATGGGAGTGGGCACTGGGCACCCCATGTTAAACAGACTTTCCGCAAATATCATAAGCTCGGTTTGACCTCGCGCAAGTCTCGGATGAAGAGGGGACGGTTCCAGTGGTCCCCTCTATTTCAGGAAAATCGGTAACGCTGAGCGCGCGACCGTTCTAGAGGGCAAAGTAGGAAAACTGGTATCACCGAAGCTTTAGATACGCTGGAAACAAAGACTAAAACGTATCCAGCGGGTTGTCACAGTGTCTCGGCCCCATCCCAGCCCCGTAAGCTGAGACCCGTGTGAGCCCCGCAGCCGCCGTCGGCAGCGGATCTCCCCTTCCAAACGCCGCTCACCGGTGTCCCAATAGCGACCGCTCTCTCCGCCCGGCGCGGTCAGAAAAAGGCCGTGCGCGCGCCCAGCGGTGGTGCGGCCGGTTCTCCGCACCATCGCAGGCCGGCGAGGGGCCCGTTTTTGTCCGAGCGATTAGAAAACCGCACAATATCACACGCCACAGAAAGGAGGAGGACCCTCCCGCCTGTCCGGCCTCCCTGATGGTGACGGGGCGACAAAGACGTGTTTTGTAACGGGGGCAGTGCTGAATGCGGCCTCGAGTTCAAACCGTATCAGCTGTGCCTACAAATAATGCAAAATTTGGACAATGCAAAGCCTTGAAATGTGACGCAGAGCCGTAGCTGAAAGGCCAAGGGCCAAGGCCTTTATTCTCACGATATGCTCTGCGCGCAGATGAAATAGCATTGTAGAATTGGAAGGAGACATGCTGACGAGACACGAGTGGTAACTTGTATCGTGTGCTGTTGCAGGGCGTCATGGACAGCTGCTACGCGGCGACGATTGCCGCGCTGGCTCTGATCATCGCAGTACAACAGTGTAAGTACGGAGCCACGGCCAGACATTGGCCAACTGTCGGTTTGTGAGCGCTGACCTGACCTCTGAGGTCGTTAGACAGCGATGTAGGGCGGGTCACCCGCATATAGGGTGTGGACTGTGGTACATGGCCGACCTGAGCCGCCGCCTGTCGGCGCTGCTGCTCGTATCTGACCATCCGGCCCCGTGCCGCAGGCTCCGGCTACAAGTGCTATATCTGCAGCTGGTCGCCCTCCTCTCCGAACCGCACCGACATCTGCACCACGGAGAACTTCAACCAGCACGCCGTCAAGGTGTTTGACGGCTGCGTCTACGGCTGCGAGATCGTCGCCGCGTACGACAGCAACGGTACGGCCGCGGGCCGCCGGGCTCTGGGCTGGTGCTGGGCCACTCACTGGGAATGGACCCATGACAGAAAAATCACACACTCACTGGGGCTGGATCCATGGCAGGAAAATCGCACGGAGCTGTCCTAGGAGTATGTACTAGTTAAATACCCCTGAGTACTGTTTTAAATCACTGGTCATCTCTTTCAGGCGAGCTAGAGAACTTCTACCGCAACTGTGTCGTCAAGGGCAAGGAGGTGACGAACGACTGTCGCGACATGACGACGGTGGCTTTCCGGAAGCACGTCTGCAGGTGCGGCTCGGACCTCTGCAATACGGCGGCGGCGGCGGCCGGCCCCGGCCTGCTCGGCACCCTGGCGGCGGCGGTGCTGACCGTTAGTGTGGTCGTCCGCGGGTAGGCGCCGCCACCGCCGACCGAGAGGCCCCAGTGGACGGACGGCGAGGCACGGTGCAGCCCAGTTCAGCAGATGAAGTCGGACATGGGGCGGCAGGCACACTGGCATTATATCCACCCGCGAGTTTGTGTCATGTATATTACATAGCAGAACTCGTAGCCGGCGCTCCTGATTTGGTGCGCCATCGCCGCTGCCGGAGCGCCTCAGTAGTGGGGGCTCAGAGCTCCCGCAGCTCTGTTCAGCCAAACGCCGACCTCTGAGACGGAGCTGGGAGGCCACAGCCTCGTCCGACGGCACACTGACTGTGTGCCGCCCGCTTTAAGCAGTATGTGAGGTGCAGCTGTGCCTGGCCGTCTGAGAGGGATGGTCGTCGTCTGGTCTTAGATTCAGACTCAAAGGGTCAGTCTCTGACTCGGCTTCAGTCGCTAGTCTGTATCGTCGTATTGTTTTCGACAGTGTTATATGTGCCAGTCATGCTGTGCCACCTGGCAATATGTCCCAGCTTCCTGGCTACTCGGTGGGAGGAAGCATAGGCGTTATATGATTTTGAAAGCACAATTGCCTGTATGTGTCATGTCGCCTATAGAGTGGTGCGCTTGGTTTGCCATGAATGAGGACAGGTGCTTGTAAATCATTTCCATCGTACCCCCAGAGTCTTGTTTAACATCATCTGGGTAGCTCATTATTACGATAAGCTATGTCATTTACACAACATGGTCTGCATAAGAAAATTGCGACGACATAGCTTTTCCTGCCCGGTATTCGAGAAGTCAAAATAAAGCAGTGCTTGAGAAACTTGTTTCTCCATAACACATAAATGGCCAGGCTTTCTCAATCTCAGGAAAGTGAGGCAGTCCAGCCCGGACAGTTGTTGTTGACAAACGTCGAGCAAGGACAAGTAGGTATTGAGGCAAGGGACAGCGTGAACGGCAGACATGAGGGCGTCAAAGACCGGACCACGCCCAGCCACCGTAAATGTCCAGTCATTAATCATTTATAGCATTAACAAATCAAGCCATCCGTACATCAGTTGAGAGCAATAAAAAACATAAGCTTCCGTTGTGTCTTTATTGCTGGTTCATTTCGAGCAAGTTGCGCATATAAACACTCGAACCCTTCCGCTTACGATTGTCATACACATTCAGTGGTATCATACATGCTAGGCTAGATATATGGAAAGCGCTTCTCTGGCCCACAAAGACCGTTACAACGAAGCCAATAACATCATCCCTGTACTGACACCGTCGTCAGCCGGGGCGCGTTTCCAGCGGCCGGCCGCCGCCACAGGCCGCACCTCTCAATACAGAGGTCCGGCTCACTGAACACTGGGCCGGCCGGCGGCCCGGCGCGCCCCGGAATGACCCCACCGTTTATCGACCTTCCGTCGGGCCTGACTAGATCCCGAGCACGTGACTGAGACGGCACCAGCCCAGTGTACACCCACAGCAGTTTACATTCCCCATCGGCCAGGCCGTCCCACCAATACGCAGCCAGATATATATACTTGTGACGTCATAAGTTCACAGCACTGTCCGTTAGCATAGCACACGCACCGTTGACACACGGTGCAGCCATCCACCATAGCGACTCGATTAAACATCTCAGGGACTGGTTTGAGCGTTGGCCACCAGACAGTCTGATTGGATACCAGACGGTCTGACCACTCGCCGGTCAGTCCGGCCGGCCTCTCAGGTCAGCGGGCGGCTGAGCTGACCGGTCACCGGCCTCAGGTCAGTGGGCGGCTGACCGGTCACCGGTCTCAGGTCACGGCTGAGCTGACCGGTCGGCGGCCTCAGGTCACGGCTGAGATGACCGGTCACCGGCCTCAGGTCAGCGGGCGGCTGAGCTGACCGGTCACCGGCCTCAGGTCACGGCTGAGGTGACCGGTCACCGCTCGCCGGCCGCGCCGTCCGCCGTGCTGTCGTCCAGCAGCGGCTCGCCGTCGGTCGGCGCCGGCCGGCTGCGCAGGGCGCCGAGCAGCAGCAGGCCGGCCACCAGCAGCGCGCCGCCCAGCGCCGCCAGTGTCAGACTGCCGGCAGACAGGACCGCCGGCAGCACGCGCGCGATCACAGAGAACCGGGCGGCGATCGCCGGCGTCACGTCCACCGTGTTCTCGAACCACAGCATCGGCACGTAGACGGTGGAGACGTTGCGCAACAGCCTGCCGACGGGCGGGCGGCGGGGCGGCGTCACGGCGCGCTAATGGAGCCGCCCCGTCTGTTTGGATGACAAATGCACCGGCGGACGGGATGGTACTGAATAGGAGCATTACGCAGCAGGAGTCGTCGCCAGCAGCATAGCTACTGGTGGTCTCCTGACGATTATCGAGGATGAATTCGGGATTCACAGGAAATATCACAAGAAAACATCACAGGAAAACAGGAAACGTCACAGGAAATAACAAAATTTATCATATAATAATTACATAATGAAAAAGGGAAAATAAAAGGCGACTTTGTGGAATTATCACCCTGTAGGTCATATTCATATAGGGTTTATCTAAACAGGTATGCGATACTTACATATTCGAGAGAATCAGATCGGATTGGCTGGCATCCGTTCACACAAAACGCGATCACTTTTGTGTGCGAAGTCTAAATATTTCCGATAAAAACTGTGCTGCAGTCCTGCTGCCCAGAGCTTTAGCTCAGCAAGGCAGTGTGTAATTAAAGGGACTTCGCGTAAGCCACTGACGGCCGGTGATTTTAGCAAATCATGCCAACCGGACCCTGTTCATTCGGGCTCCATCCGAGGTTCCCTCGATGACCGTCCCAAACTCCCCAGCTCCTGGCGGCCACTCTGCACTCCTGAACGGCAGTATCGCAATTTCTCTCCGAAACGGAACGCTGGTGACCGGAGATCTCGGCAAATGTACGCAAAATGCCGACGAAGGACCAAACGTATGGAATATACGGGTTTTGGCAATCTGGGCTACGGGAGAACACGAGGGCGGGACCGAACGGTAATCGCACGAGTCAGAGGAGAGCGAATGGTAGTGTTCTTTCCACAGGACTCGGCCCGGGATGCATCCGGACCTGCCGTTCAGCCGAAAAAAATACCCGCCAACCGACCACCGATCGACCCAGACTGGCCGGACCCCGACCCCCACCCCTCCCCCCGCTCTCAGGTCGGCCGGCCGTCAGCCCCCCCCCCCCTGTCCGAACCGACCAGAGCCCCCCCCCCCTCACTGCCCGGACTGACCGCAGAGCCCCCTCCCCCCACTGTAGTAACTGATCACAGAGGGCGGGCCGACCGCCCCCCCCCCTCCCCCTCTTTGGCCGATCATCGTGGTTCACCACTGGTTCATCGTGGTTCACCACTGGTCTCTGGGCAGTGCGGCCCCCTGCCGCGTCTACCGCTCGACGCCGGTACCCTCCACTCCCGAGGGAGACGACACACAGGCCTGTTACACTGGGCTGTACTCACACAACGTCTGTGTCGGGCCTCAGCAGCATGTTGATCTGGAGCCGGGCGCGGACGGCCAGTGGTACCCCGGTCAGCTGCGGGAGAGCCACAGAGGACGTCAGACGGCGGACCGGAACCGTCACAGCGGGGCGGAACATAGCGCCCAGAAACCCAGACACGGCTGAATGACATAGCGACGCGGGACAGAGAAACGCAGCACGGGACTGCAAAAACGCAGCGGAGGCCTACACAGCTGCAGCACAGATAAACAGGGCGCTAAAAACGCAGTAACGGGTCTCATAAATGCAGAACAGAGCCGCAGGACTACCTCACATAGCCGTATATTAAACAGACACAGCGCATGGTGTGGCCGGCAGTTTGCGTCCTCTTACGGCGCTGGGGCCCTATTTAAGCTGTGTACCATCCACTTACCGGCTCCACGGCGATGTTGAAGTTGTGCAGCGTCTCGTTGGGCTCCTGGCCCACGGTCTGATCCAGGACCGCCGGGTCGGCGTACAACATGTGCGGGAAGGAGACGAACGCGGGCACTCCGAACCGGCACAGGGTCTCATTGAGCAGACCTGCGGAGGGGGACGGACAGGGTCAGCAGACCTGCGGAGGGGGATGGACAGGGTCAGCAGACCTGCGGAGGGGGATGGACAGGGTCAGCAGACCTGCGGAGGGGGACGGACAGGGTCAGCAGACCTGCGGAGGGGGATGGACAGGGTCAGCAGACCTGCGGAGGGGGATGGACAGGGTCAGCAGACCTGCGGAGGGGGATGGACAGGGTCAGCAGACCTGCGGAGGGGGACGGACAGGGTCAGCAGACCTGCGGAGGGGGATGGACAGGGTCAGCAGACCTGCGGAGCGAGATGGACAGGATCAGCAGACCTGCGGAGGGGGATGGACAGGGTCACCAGACCTGCGGAGGGGGATGGACAGGGTTAGCAGACCTGCGGAGGGGGATGGACAGGGTTAGCAGACCTGCGGAGGGGGATGGACAGGGTCAGCAGACCTGCGGAGCGAGATGGACAGGATCAGCAGACCTGCGGAGGGGGATGGACAGGGTCACCAGACCTGCGGAGGGGGATGGACAGGGTTAGCAGACCTGCGGAGGGGGATGGACAGGGTTAGCAGACCTGCGGAGGGGGATGGACAGGGTTAGAAGACCTGCGGAGGGGGATGGACAGGGTTAGCAGACCTGCAGAGGGGGATGGACAGGGTTAGCAGACCTGCGGAGGGGGATGGACAGGGTTAGCAGACCTGCGGAAGGGGATGGACAGGGTTAGCAGACCTGCGGAGGGGGATGGACAGGGTTAGCAGACCTGTGGAGCGGCACAACGTCTCATTGAACAGACCTGCGGAGGGGGACAGACACAAGGGCCCAAGCAACCAACGGGAACACAGCCCGCCGGGCCATTACTCAGTAAAAGGTCTCAAAGGCAAACAATGACCTCCCTGCTTTGGACGGGCAGCGTTGCCGCCCACCTGCCGAGTATACTTCCCTGTCGCCGTTTCCGTCTCACCTGCCGGTGGGCAGTCGCCGGTGCAGAAGCACCAGTTGTCCGGGTTGGTCTGGGGCGCAGCGAACAGCAGCTCATCGGCCTGGTACCGGTACCCGTCCAGGCCGTACACCGACACCTCCTCCTTGTAGGGAATCCGCAGGGAGCTGCCAACACCGCCGGACAGGGGTCAGGGAGCTGCCAACACCGCCGGACAGGGGTCAGGGAGCTGCCAACATAGCCGGACAGGGGTCAGGGAGCTGCCAACACCGCCGGACAGGGGGTGAGGGAGGTGCCAACACCGCCGGACAGGGGGTCAGGGAGCTGTCAACACCACCGGACAGGGGTCAGGGAGCTGCCAACATAGCCGGACAGGGGTCAGGGAGCTGCCAACACCGCCGGACAGGGGGTGAGGGAGGTGCCAACACCGCCGGACAGGGGGTCAGGGAGCTGTCAACACCACCGGACAGGGGTCAGGGAGCTGCCAACATAGCCGGACAGGGGTCAGGGAGCTGCCAACACCGCCGGACAGGGGGTGAGGGAGGTGCCAACACCGCCGGACAGGGGGTCAGGGAGCTGTCAACACCACCGGACAGGGGTCAGGGAGTCGTCAACACCGCCAGACGGAGGTCAGGGAGCCGTCAACACCGGATAGGGGTCAGAGAGCTGCAACGCCAGTCAGGGAGCTGCAAAAAACATAGCCGGACAGGGGTCAGAGAGCTGCCCATGACACGCAGCACCGGACAGTGGACAGCACCAGCAGTGGACAGCACCGGACAGTACCGTACCGGAAAGTACCGTACCACGCAGTACCGTACCGGCAGATGTCCGTGGAGTAGAGCTCGACGTGGTCGCGCCGCCGCCGCGGGGGAAACAGCTCCCCCGTCGAGCCGTTGATCATGTTGCAGGGCGGCTGGAAGGCGGCCGTGGCGTTGGTGGTGTTCCAGTAGTGGAGCCGGCCCAGCTGGGTGACCTCGGCGCCCGTATCCATGTTGAATACGCCGTCGTAGTAGTTGGAGCCATTCCGCTGCGACGGAGAGGGGCGCGTCAGAGCCAGACAATCTCAGAGGAGAGAGCGTACACAGCGTCCGCACCTGACGGCAGCGACCGGCCGCCTCAGTAAGCCCGGGCTGACACAGTTTCAGTGGACCGCGGGGGACAGACCCGGCTACTCACGCTGTAGAACCAGGCGAACCTGTCGAACGGTATGGAGATGTTGGCCAGGTACTTGGCGACGGCGGCTGCCTCCAGCAGCGGGTCGTCGTAGCCGTCAAACAGCAGCTCGCGGGCCGTCTTCGTCACGAATATCTGCGAGCCCACCTGGTTCACCAGTTCGTTGAACATGAACTTTACCAGCAGGTTCATGTCCTTGATCAGCGCCGCCGCCGCCTGCCGGCCGGCAGGGTGGTGTCAGGACGAGTCACATGTTCAAGCACAGGCACTGGGACCGCGGGATGGGGTGAAGGCAGAACAAACCAATTCAACAACGCAAAATATGCAGTACCGACACGTTCAGACTACGTCCGGGCCAACAGGAGCAGCAACTCCAGCTGCTTCCCTCACCAGGAGTAGCAACTCCAGCTGCTTCCCTCACCAGGAGTAGCAACTCCAGCTGCCTCCCTCACCAGGAGCAGCACATTCGAGTCCCTCCCTCACCAGGAGCGGCACGTTGAGGCTGGTGACGTTGTCGTCCAGCCGGCCGGCCGACAGGTCCGGCTCGAAGTGCCACGTCTTCACCTGCTGGTAGGTGACGGTGTTGTTGGCGTTCCACGTCATGTTCACCTTCAGATGTTTCTCACTGCCGATAACAGGCTCGGTGTCAGGCGTCAGCTACTGCGGCCAGCGAGGGGACTCGCTCCGGGGAGAGGGAGGGAGAGGGGACATACAGACACGCACATGGTGGACGCATACCCGGGGCGACGAGATCAATCAATCTTATCCGACTAGCCAAGGAATAAGAGGGAGGATATAATACCGCTGTGCCATGAGTCTTCAGGCACGTCCACTCCCGGGTCTTCACACGCAGCACTTGACGCGCCGGGCACCCCGGGAGCCACACGAATGACACGGCGACCGATTGGATGCACGGCGACTGACTATGAGCGGTGACAGGTGTCGTATCGCTGCGGCGTCCCTCCCATCCAGCACCGTGCCCCGGAGTTCTATATGAGCGGACACACCATGGTCCGTCCCCCAGTTCCATCTGGGCGGAGCAGGCACCATCCGTTCCTCACCTGTACACGTAGGGGCCCAGCTGCTCCAGGACGGGCCGCGCGTGGCTCGAGACCACCTCGGCGGAATTAGTCACGTTCCACATGTAGAACTTCATGAAGATGGGCACGGGCAGCGTGCGCCAGAACTCGTAGCCCTCCGAGTCGGGAGTCAGGTGCAGCCGCTGCCGGAGGCACATCGGACGTCACGGGCGTCATATTGGATGTCACGGGCGGCCCGGGGCGCTGCCCCCGTGATATCGCGTCGAACGACCGTTCAGCAACCCCAATCCGGCCCCCGTAACTCCAATGGTGCCATAACGTAGCTCCGTGTCGTGTCAGCACCTTGCCGGGCCTGTCCCAGCTGGACAGTGACCCTACTCACACCTTACACCAATCCAGCTTCGGACCTAAGTAAGCACACAGACCCTGCTCCCAGCGGCACACTGACCTTGTCCAAGATGGAGTCATACAGCCGCTGGTGCAGAGTGACGGCCACCACACCGACCAACAGGGTGACAGCACCAGACGCCAGCAGACCACGCTGGCAGGCAGCAGAGGAGACCATCACAGCAACAGTCGGCACTGACTGATGCACTCAGCTGGCTCACCTCCTGGTACACGACAGAGCTGTCAAGCTCTCTGGTATGTGTAACCTGAAACAAATGCCACTGTCAGTCTGTCAGCTAAGTTGCTGCAGCAACAGACCAATTATCACCTATAAACTCAGCAGTAGATTAAAAATGCATATTATGTGCAAGGCTTATGATTACCTTATGATTATAGCACTTGTTTGTGTTACCATCTTGTTTGGACTTTCTAGAGAACAAAGTATCTTATTATCAGATCACGATGAAAAGAATAGATGAGCATACATCAACATTTTGACATTTTAAAGAACAGAATGGACATTGGGCATCAGCATGTATGTTAGTTGGTGGAAAGTTTTTCATCAATTACTTTTCACACAATCATGGGATACCTTCATTTCAATTTGATTATGTTTTCCCATGGCAACTTTACTTAAACTTATTTCGTCGACTCCATCTAGTAGATGCAGGATCATTTCTGATCGTCTTCCAATTATGTTAGCTGTCTGGATGATATAAATTTTCAGGACATCATAGTTGGGAGGACTCTTTAACAGTTACTCTTCTTGGTTATATTCTCAGTGAGTTCCTTGCGCACACGGGCTTGGTAGATATAATGGATGATCAAGCTTTGTGGCTTATCGGCGATGATGATAAGTTCTGCTGCTGGTAGCGTTCTGTTCAAGATAGTTTTGTATATTTTTTGAGCAGCTACTCTATCGTCTTTCAGTTTGTCACATTCAAAGAGCATGTGATACTAGTGTACTGGTGCTTTTAAATTGGTTTCTAGAAGGAATAAGTATCAGAAATGAAATCCGGAGATCTTAGAGTATCGTGTGAATGACTTGTCTTTACCCCTCTGTTTTGCGGACCTAAAGTAAATAAATACCCAAGGTTTGACGCCTAGGTTCACAGACTGTGCTCCTTTAACCAGCAGTTGGACCAGCAATGATGCTGACAATGAAGATACTTGACACTGATTCTTTATTATAATAAAAGCTTAAAAACTTTGTCATAACATTCTACACTTGATCAAAAGGAATAGGTACACATTTCACCTGAAAACCAAAACTTTTCTTCACTCTCCAGTCTGAGTCTCCAGTCCAGTGACAGGACAAAAAATCAGATACAGACAAAAAAACGTAACTGAAGCAAAGCACTATAAAAAATCACGTCAAGACCAGCCCTCAGTGCCCTGGACGATTCCATGACGGTTTTTCGTCCAGCAGATTTTCGTCGGACAATTTTTCGTCCGCAGATTTTCGTCCGACTTTTTTTCGTCTCGCATTTTTTCGTCTGTACATTTTTTCGTCTGTGCATTTTTTCGTCTGTACATTTTTTCGTCTGTACATTTTTTCGTCCGGACATTTTTTCGTTCGTATATTTTTTCGTCCGTGCAGTTTTTCGTCCGGACATTTTTTCGTCTACAATCTTAACGTAACCTAACCTAACCTAACCTAAACTAACCTTTAACCTAACCTAACCTAACCTAACCTAACCTAACCTAACCTAACCTAACCTAACCTTACCTACTGATGTTTGCCTACCGGGGGATAA